TTTCCATATTCACAACACATTTCATCTCAACACACTTTACAGACATTACAGTTGGGTTGGTACCAAGGTTATATAAAGGGAAACCAGAAGACTGGAACTCATTTGGCCTCATGCAAGAACCATTCATACACACAAATTTGTTTCCAAATCGTTTATATGAGTAATTTAGCAGAAAATGTCTCAATCACCATTTTCTCCTATTTCTAATATCTCTCTGAAGATCTGACATAGGAGTCCTGCTCAATCAATCAGCTGTTATCCAAACAGTTTTTCACTTAATAACCACATTTGTTGTTAATTAGAAGCAACTTTCCTTTTTATTAGGCTTCATCATTTTACACTGCTCAATAAAAAAAGGGAGAAGGTAAACAGCATAATATAACTTTAATCAAATCAAACTTCTGTGGAGTCAAATTGTCCACTTAGGAAGCAACACTGACTGACAATCGATTTCTCCTGCTGTTGCTCAAATTGAAAAGACAACAGGTGGAACCACAGATCTCTCCTCAGTCCTTACGCTTTCTGGATGATGCTTTGGTCACTTTTGAATGTTGGTGGTGCTTTCACACTCGTGGTAGCATGAGGCGGACTCTATAACCCATGCAAGTGGCTCAGATAATGCATCTATTCCAGGATGGAACATCAATTCCTAGCTGTGGCAAGAAGGTTTGCTATGTCTGTCAGAGTGTCCAGAGGCAGGATGCGCTACCAGGAGACAGGACAGTACACCAGGAGACATGGAGGAGGCCGTAGGAGGGTAACAAACCAGCAGCAGGACCATTACCTCCGCCTGTGAGCAAGGAGGAACAGGAGGAGCACTGCCAGAGCCCTGCAAAATGACCTCCAGCAGGCCACTAATGTGTAGGTGTTTGCACAGACAGTTAGAAACCAACTCCATGAGGATGGTATGAGGGCCCGACATCCACGCATAGGGGTCCTGCTCACAGCCCAACACGTTGAACGATACTTGGCATTTACCAGAGAACACCAGGATTGGCTAACTCTGTGCTCTTCACAGATGAAAGCAGGTTCACACTGAGCACATGTGACAGCAGGTGAAGTTGAAGAATGAAAACTTTGTTCAAACAGGTAGGACCTGTGCATCATCTCATGGGTTCCTCCACAGTTTGATTCTGTCTTCTTTTACGCAGTAAATACTAAAGCCCCATATACACTGCCCTTTTGAAACCGTGCCGAGAACGGCGCTAACATGGTGCTAGTTCATCAGTAGCGCTCGTCGCGGTTCAGTTCTGGCTCGGTTCTCAGATAACAAAGAGCGCATGAGCAGACAGCGTCAACTCCTTACAGTCAGCCTTATTATCATGAAGTTTCAGAGATTCATAAAAATCCTAGCTTCCCTACCGTGCCACACGATTCCCAGTGATGATTCTGCTAAGCAGTGAGATGAACCTCAACATCTTTCATTGTTTCCTGTGTCTGAAAGCCCTGATTAGACTTCGTTCGGCTTCCTTCTTCACCCGACTCCCCGCAATCTTCCTGAATGTTACGGACGGCACCATGTTGGTTTGCTTGTTTCCCTCTAGAGAGCGATAGTACCTGTAGTTCGCCACTAGGAGGCGAGGCACTGTGCTAGTGTGATGTGAAAAACAGTCGTAAGGAACCGAGCTCTGCATGGTTAACTGATCCAAGCTCGGCACGGATCGGTTTTCAGAGGGTAGTGGAATTGGAGCTAAATGATAAATGATCGTTATTAGCGGTTATCAGTCCCATAAAACGGCTTCAGATTTTGCCAGTAGGCTCAGTAGGTTGTTATCATCGAGTGAATCCTAATCCTAAAGTAATTCCTTTTCCCCCGCAGAATTAATTAATCTATTTATGTGTAATCTGAAAATAATTTCAGTTGTTCTTCATTACTTTAAAATAACAAAATAAAAATAAAATGATGCACATGTTGCTCATTATAAACAATCAAAAACAAATAGATCTCATATCCTCTCAACTGAGCTGTAGAATCCTCTCCCTATAAACATTTAATTCTCTGTGAAAAAGTGCCGATCATTCTTTAACAAGATCCTCGACAAACGGACATGAGGCCATTTTTTTCCCGCAGCCATAGCAGATTGACAGCTTCATTTAAAAGGCAAGGTGTGCAGGTTTCAACCCTTTTTACTCCAATAACCCTTAAAGTTTGGATTGAATAACTACATTTTTCTCAGGGCTTTCAGAGACAGCTGCCAGAGACGGCACTGATTTATGTGAGGAGCTGGGCATGAGCCCTCACTGAGCCTGTCTCTTTGAATTATGACAGCAGTTAATAGATATTTTACATTCCGCCATGTACAGCTTCTAACAGTGATCTAAGATGCCTCCGCGAACACGACTCCATAAAGATTAGACCCAAAACATCTCAAGTAGAGTGTTTTTCTTCCCAGCCATGATTCAGTGGATCAGGGGGAGGATTAACCACCCACCTCAGACTGGATATGATTGTGTTCAGTTTAATTGATTCATTAAGGCTCATCTTTTAATTAGCTGAACAAATAACATGTGTCCATGTGTCCATGTAGGACTCTTTACACTGTATAACGTTACAATATAACTTACAAAATGGGTTCAGCTGAGTAGGATATGAACACTTCAGAGCTGCTCCACCACTGCTTCACCCTAGAAAATAAAAAACGATGGTCCACTGGGTCAGAAGCTGTTAAAATGTAGGACAGCAAGGGGGAAACAACATAAACAAGAGTATATTGCTTTAAATATGCTTTAAAAGGGTTTACAAAACCTAAAAATGACCTTTGAAATTATTGGAAACCAGCCAGTTAAACTTCTAAAATCTTAAGTTCTTTTAGAGATGTCAAACACACATTGGAGACTAACTTCCTTTGGAAAGAAAATTTGGAAAGAAATAGAGGTTCACAGTTTTACCTTTAAGTAGTAACTATCAATGTTTGAAAGCTGTCTTTTAATTAGGGTCTGAATGGTTCAAATAAGAACCATCAACAGCCGATACTGCACCGTATCGGAATCGGAAGGCAGACTGGTTTTTACAATAGAATGAGCTGAAAGACTAACAGGAGACTTTTCTCCTTGGCTCTACCTTTCTTATAACTCATCCTAAACGGTTACATTATCCAGAGTTCTCTCTACTGGTATGCTGCTAGAGGCTTCATCTGCTGGAGGACATAGGGGCTGTTGTGTAACTTTAATTAATGTATTGCCCACCCCAGTGGGAGTGGTAAATATGTTATTTAATCAGTTATTATTAAGACTGTCTTATATGATGTTTGTGAACACACACCCTACTAGCTGTGTGTTAAACTAGTGAAACTCAACTAAACTTTAAACTACTATGAACAAAGAAGAAGGAATAAAATTAGGGATGCACGATATTGGGATTTTGGCCGATATGCCGATATTTTAAAACTCATGTAGCCGATAACCGATATCGATACCGATGTTAAAGCTGGACAAAAATAAGTAGTCATTGAAAATAGCAGTTTTGTTATCCATTTCTGACACTTTGAAAAATAATATACTCAAATATATTTTCATATGCTGATATCAAATAGATTTTTAAAAACGCGGTATCGATCTATTTAACTTTCAAAATCTGGTGAAATTTCATCGTTCTGTTACAAACTCTCGTGATATTTTGCAAATTCTTGTGAGATTTTGTTAGTAAAATAGATCGATACCGCGTCAATATATCAACATATAAAAATATGGCTACATTTGGTGAATTTTCGGGGGATTTCGTAGCATAACGATGACATATAGCAATATTTCATTAGTAAAAGAGATTGATATGGTGTTTTTAAATGGCAATATATCAGCATATGAAGATATTGGGATATTTTAATGTATCAATATTTTTTCCCTCGTCTTTAAAAGTTTTTAAGTCTGTAAAAAAGAAGTTTTTGAGGAAGAATAAGTAGTATTTATTTTTTTTTTTAGACTTTAGAAACTCAGAAGCTGATCAAATATCGGGTTAAATATCGGTGGGGAGGCCGATGTCCGATATTCAGTTTTAAGGCCGATACCGATAGGGGGCCGATTATATCGTAATTCCCTAAATTAAATGGTTAAAAACTATAATAAATGAGATGATGCAATGATGTCACAGCTGGATTTATGTTTGAAAAGCAAAGTTCATTTTGAAGAGTTTGATCAAATTGGCTTTTAACTAATTTTGTATTCAAAGCAATTCACAATGAAAATCGCGGTGAATAAAACATGCTGTGATTGGCTAAAAGGTTGGCATGGTAGGCAGGAGCCGCAATCAGTTGATCACAGGAGGCTTTCCAGATGGATACTGCGTAGAAATCAAAGTGAACAGGTGGATCCATCTGGCTCATGCCAGGTTACCTTGAGATGACGTGTTTCTAATTGTCATTATATAAATAAACGGAATAGAATTAGAGGAACCCGACTTTAAAGGAAAAATCCGCTCATATTCAGAATTAAAACTTCTGAAAGTCCTTTAAGTATGAAATGATTCCATCCTGTTCAATAAATGATCAGTGTTTTTAATTCAGAGTAATTTTCATGTGAATGTGCTTTACTGGAGGCATCCAGCACTAGGACTTGATCAACAGCCAATACCGCACTGTGACGTCACCGTGTCTCAGCAGCTGCTGTTTCGATTTGCCCTCCGTCCTCCAATTATAATAAAACAGCTCAGAATGACAAAAGATACGTTAAAGGATTGGGCAGACCTTCCTGCCCTGCTACGTTCTGTTTACTTTGGAAGTCAGACTTTGGCATCCTGGAGGGATCCAGGTGTCACAATCACACCTGTTTAAGTCCTACTCAAGTTTGGAGCACACCCTGCAGGCCGAGCGTTCATCCTATCCTTTGGTACAAAAACACTGAGAAGATGTCATTCCTAAAAAATAAGGGCTAGGCAGAAAAGTTTACTGTAAAAGATAAGAATCCAGAAATGTGAGCTTTATTGTGAAGGTAAGAACAGGAAGTGGCTGTCAGCCCCCCCTCCCAGATGTTTCTCTCAGTGCTGCTCTGCTCTGTGTGCCTCTGCAGGAGCAAAAATTCAGGCTGCTTCATCATCTCACTCATGGATTAACTTTCTGCTTCTTTTCATGAACAAAAGGTAAAAACACATTTATTATCTATCACTGCTCTTGTTTTTTGTTTGTTTTTTTGCATGATTCTTATTATTGCAGTAAAACATTTAATGAACCTTGAAAAAAAAACACTTTTATTTTCAATTTAATTTGAAAAGAGAACAGAGAATACAGACATATCCTAAATAGAAGAAGTTAGAAATAGTTTCAGCTGCACTAGACTAACAACAAACATCAAACATCAAATAAAATAACAGCTGATATTTATTCATGATAAAAAAAACCCACATTATTAGGAATTCAGGTTGTGATGGAGGGAGAAGGTCTGGACAGTGTTAGGATCTACCTAGATCAACCTGTTAACCACCCAAACATGTTGCTGTAGATCCACAGTTCTAGAACTGCTCATGTTTCATCCATGGAGGTGGATGCAGGGAGAGAGGACTGATTTCCAGCTGGTAGACCTGTGAGCCGTCAGGAGACTCATGTTTCCCTCCTGTTTGGGAACCTTTTTAAAACTAAAATGATTCAGGCATCAACTTCTCCCTCCTTGTGTTTAGCTGGGTGGTTGCTGATCTAGTTTTCTATCTAAGGAAAACATTACTGATTGCATCGACTCATTGAGCTTTCAGCAATCCCTCACATTTTAGAATGTTAAAATGTCTCAGAAACATATCTGACACCATAAAACCAGAGAAAATAAAGATTTCTCCCTAATTGGCTCAAACTGTCACATATATATATATATATATATATATATATATATATATATATATATATATATATATATATATATATATATATATATATATATATATATATTCTGCTGTAGTCCATCTATGTCTTGTTCCAGTAGCCAATTTGTCTGTTTTTATATATATATATATATATATATATATATTAGTGCTGTCAAAATTATCGCGTTATTAACGCGTTAACGCGAGGCCATTTTAACGGCGATAATTTTTTTAACGTGAGATTAACGCTATGTGGTTTTATGGTACAATTTTTCCAAGTACATCCCGCTGCAGCCTGCGGGAAGGCGGGGCTATTTTCCCCCAGTCTATGCATTTCTCATAGGCTTCTAGAGCGGAGCTCCTCAAGGGAAAAAGACGCTCATACACTGGGTGACGCTAGTGCCTTTTCTTTAAGCCCCACCACCAACAAACAAGTTGAGTGTAGTAGCAACCTGAAATACGCTGAGAAAACTGATTACTGAGGTGAAATGGAATCTCGTAGCAGCACTCTTGCCGTCTGTGTACGCAACAGGTCGGTATCGCGTGTGTGTGTGTGTGTGTGTGGGTGGGTGTGTCTGTGTGTGGGTGAGTGGGTGTGTGTGTGTTCTCATTTTTGTTAAGAGGCTGAAAAGTAACTTTCTAGAGAGCATAGACTACCTTCATCTAGTGATGTCGGTCTATTGATTTTGATGTATTGATTGAAAATTGTTCATTATTACCTTGGTTAATTAACATCTAATGTTAACTCTACTAAATTTTATAGCAGTAGGGTAAAATGCTTGTCTTTGTTCAAAAGACTGTATTAACTGTAAAGACTGTCTTTTACATCAGCCTGTTTTCAGGGCCTTTTTTTTGCCTACATATTTGTTATTTTTTGCTACATGCCTCCCCATCTTCTTGCCATATGTTTCTATGGCATAAATCAGTATCTGTGACCTGTTTTCATTTTAAAAAAAGAACATTGGCACAAACCTAGCCTGTATGTATTTTTTTGTATGTCATCGAGAGTATTTAAATGATTTTCAATCAGGAAAAAAATGTGCGATTAAAATGCGATTAATCGCGAGTTAACTCAGGCATTTATGCGATTAATCGCGATTAAAAAATTTAATCGATTGACAGCACTAATATATATATATATATATATATATTCTGCTGTAGTCCATCTATGTCTTGTTCCAGTAGCCAATTTGTCTGTTTTTATATATATATATATATATATATATATATATATATATATATATATATATATATATATAAACAAAAAAAATGTTCTCTTTTCTCATGTGTCATCCTCAAGCTGGGGTCCTCTACCAGAGGCCTGGGAGTTTGAGGGTTCTGCGCAGTATCTTAGCTGTTCCTAGGACTGCGCTCTTCTGGACAGAGACCTCTGATGTTTTACCTGGAATCTGCTGTAGCCAGGGGCGTTGCTAGGCACAAAGCTTTACTGGGGCACTGGCCCCTACCGCATATGCCCCTCCTGCCATACATAAATACAGACAAGCACACTGCCCCACCCTGATAAATTCCTACCAAAATTACCAGTTGAGATAATAATGAGTGTAAGAGCATATTTGTTTTAACAAACATGAACATTTTCAACATTGCAGCTATAAAAAATAAGACATCACCAACTTTAGAAATAAAACGTTTCCTTATACACATTCTGGAGTAATCATTAATTTCTAGGTTTCAGAGTTTTAGTTCAGGGGAAAGTTTAACTCAACCTGAACTAAGCTTTTCTTTTATTTTATGAGCATTAAAGTGTACCTCCTATTTTTCATTTTTGCAAAGCGGTCAATCACTAGACTGTGACTCAGCTTAGAAAGTTCTTCCTTTTCAACTGATAAAATAGCAAGATGATGGAGCCTGTCTTGTCCCATTGTGCACCTCAGCCAAGTGTGGATCCTTCTCAACACACTGAATGACCTTTCACACCTCCAGCTGTAGACTGGGATGGTGAGGAGATCTGGATGACCTGCGTTAGTGTGGGGAACATGGTATTATCAAGCAAGTTGAAAACACACTGCATATCCTTGGTGACAAGGATTTCTTTTTCAACCAGGAAAAGCTTTCAAACCATTTTGAATTAAATGAACGTTTTTTTACTCCAAATTTGTCCTGGGCATAGTGGGACAACTTCACTTGTTTAGGACCATCATGTTTCCCCCTAAGTCACTAATGTCCCCTTCTTGTTTGTGGACGCTGGTTGTTGCTCCCTCATCACCTTCATGGTCCTGTCTCTCACCTGTCTCTCTCCTGTCTCTCTGCTGTCCTTCACCTGTCTCTTGCCTGTCAGTCTCGCCTCCTCCTCCCTTTCCTACTCCAGCACCTCTACAGCAAACATTAAAAAATTAAAATTTATAATTATGTAAATATCAATCATATTGCTTATAACGTTCCTAATGTAACTGCTTAGCTTAAATCACTAATTCATCACGGGACCTTACCTCCCTCTCTCTCATCTTGTTTTACTGCTTCCCTGTCTCTGCTTCGTGTGAGGAATTTCCTGATATCCATCTACAAACCGATGCAGTCATTTTCAGTTAGTAGCCTATAAATCATGTGGTTTCACTGGGAAAATAATAAAATTGACAGGTAAGAAAGGTTACCAGAACAACGTTTCTTACTTGTCAATAAAAAAAAAAAGAAATGCATCGCGGCCGCACAGTGTCCCATCCAACTCAGTTGAAAGCAGCGTGTTAATTTACCTGCAGTTCATGCAGTGACATGCGCTGACGTGGGGGCGCTAATACATCCTCAATTTGGAGTAGAAATATACGTCTCCTCCCGTTGGAATTATCTAAATTGATGCATTAAAAAAATGTATCACTGTTGCAAATATTCATGAGATTTATACTGGGGCACAGCTCATTTATACTGGGGCATGTGCCCCAGTAAATGGGGTCTGGCGACGCCGATGGCTGTAGCCACTCTCCCAGTTTGGGGGTCACAGCCCCCAGTGCTCCAATTACCACTGGCACCACTGCTGCTCTCACTTTCCACATCTTTTCTAGCTCCTCCTTCAGTCCTTGGTATTTCTCAAGCTTCTCGTGTTCTTTCTTCTTGATGTTGCTGTCGCTTGGGATTGCCACATCTATCACTACTGCCTTCTTCTGCTGTTTGTCGATCAACACGATGTCTGGTTGGTTAGCCATCACCTGTTGGTCAGTCTGGATCTTGAAGTCCAACAGGATCTTAGCTCGGTCATTCTCAACTACCTTAGGAGGTGTCTTCCATTTTGACCTTGGGACTTCCAGCCCACACTCATGGCAGATGTTCCTGTACACTATGACAGCTACCTGGTTGTGGCGTTCCATGTATGCACTTCCTGCCTGCATTTTACACCCTGCTGTTATGTGCTTTATTGTTTCAGAGGCATCTTTGCACAGTCTGCATCGGGGGTCCTGCCTGGTGTGATATATATATTAGGGTTGTCAAAAATATCGATACTCAAAAAAGTATCGATACTGAAACGTTGTATCCGGATACAATACTAATTTTCAAAAGTATGGATACAGTGCTACCACCAGTGGCACCTAAACAGTCATTCATCTAAAGTGCAGAATAGAGGACAATGCACTTTCTGAACACTGTGTGATGAATAATTCTGTGCTCTTTTCAGTTTCAGACTTTTTTTTGTAACAGGTGCAGCTGCTGAGAATTATTTTTGTTTCTTAACCGGTTTGGCTCGTGTCATTGTTATGTGTGCAAAGCATAGCCAAGGAAGGGACACTTAATTTTAGTTTTATAAATTTTTTATCAAGCTTGCTTAATATTGTGCACAGCATAAAACCTTTAGTGTATTTATTTATTGTATTTTATTTATTAATGAAAATATTTCTGTAGAATTTTGTAGTCTTTGTTTTTATCCTTGTGGTATCGAAAATGGCTATATATATATATATATATATATATATATATATATATATATATATATATATATATATATATATATATATATAATCTGTATATAGCTTCCATAGATATGTATTTTATAACCTCTTACAATAACTCTGTTTATAAAACCCATTTATAGTCCATGCAAACATAGTCTCTGTACACATGTAAATACATATTAATATCCTTTATAGCACTTCTGAATAGATGCAAACTACACTTTGTTACTTTGTACTTGTGACAGTGTAATGACAATAAAGTGGAATTCTATTCTATTCTATTCTAATCCTCATCTTCTTTTTAACCCCTTAACTCTTGGTTTGAAATGCTCGTCACTCTGCCAGTAGCGAGGCCTCTTTCAATATTTGTGATGCATTTCTACAGCATTTTGTTTAAAAGAAGGAGTGGATGAGTTCACTTATCATCTGAAAACCTCTAAACGTACCACAGCTTGAGAAAATGTTGACCTTCTTCATTCACAATCAGACCTCTGTGAGTTCGGTTCCTATCGGACTGATCGGTGTGTTTGGAAACCTGTTATCTACTTTCCTCCTCCATGTGGAGTTCCCCAGGGCTCAATCCTGGACCCACTCCTGATTTCCCTCTGTCTGCTTCCTTTAGGTTCTACTTTTAATAAACTTAGTCTTATTTTCTACATTGCTGCTGTTTTCCAGATGTGTCAAAGTTTCAGTTCATTTCCCTGCTCTGCTCTCCCCTTGCTGACAAACTCAGATGATATCAGAGTCTGGAGGCCTTCAAATGTTTTATGTTTGGCTGTAATTCTACAGCTAGCTCTCTTTGCTTCCTCCTTGATGCTCTTCAGTCTTATCTTAAAATATTTGTTTTAAATCTGGGGATGATTTTATACTCTGGTTTTAGACTCCAGCCCTGACTTGGAGAGACTAGTCCAAGCAACCAGTTTTAAATGTCGTAGTGACTCTATTTCGTGGTCAGTCAGGTCTCCTTTAATGACTCGAATGCTGCAGCTCCACTGTTAACCAGAGGCGGTAGATTTGAGTATTTCCCCTGGTTTATTCTTTCTCTGCCGAAGCCATGAAAATCTCCTGCTGATCTATGAATGCCTAAATAGACTTTAACACTCGGACCTGTGATCATCAGATCAGCTGTTCATGGTTGTTCCAAAGCCGATGTTTGAGCGTTAGAGCTGATCCGGCTTTTCCAGAACTCTGGACTGATTTCCCTGCAATTATTAGACAGACTTTTATTTTTTTTTATTGTCTGTTTTCCTGTTGGTGACTCGGAGTGACTTGTTGCTGATGTTTTTGTGGTTGATGTAAACCTCTGTTGTTTCTATATTAACCATTTGTTGTTTAACCTGCTTTAGACAAACATGAGAACTGACCTATCGCAGGTTTGACAGGAAACGACTGCAGCTTTGCCATCTTTCACTTTATCTCACATCTTTTTTTCTGTCTCTGCAGCCCACCCTACTATGAATGTGCCGGAGCTTGTAAAGATATTCGCTCTCAGTCTTGTGCTGTCATGCCCAATCAGATGCCAACACAGAAAGAGGAAAAGCCAGAGAGATGACAACCAGGTCATCCAATATAAACCCAAAGGTGAGTCTGAGTTCACATGCTTCAGGAGCAGGGATGTAACGATATTGACATTATCATCCTCTAGGCAGCATGAAACTAGGGCTGGGCAATTAATTTCATTTGCAATAAAATCGCAGTTTAGGAAAATGCAACTTTCAAACCGCAGAGATTCTCAATTCTTCAATAGGGATGTAACGATATTGACATTATCGTGCTATCGCGGTGGTAAACGTGTCTCGATATCGTCGTGGTTGGATTACAATAATAAAAGGACAGGTGTCCGTCAAAAAGCAAGAACATTAAACACAGTCCCGCGGAACAAATCATTGTTAACTACATAGACCATGATCCTTTGCGCTGCGTCGTCATACCAACCGTTCTTAAGCCAATAGGATTGCACACGGATTGAATGCTGTCCACACAAGCTCAAAGCAAGCTAGCATGGCCGACGGCGATAGTTGTAAGGATGAAAACAACAACCCTAAAGTTGAGATCGTGCCCGCCCCGCAGCTTTTAAGTCAGATGTCTGGAAACTTTTTGGTTTCGCCGTGTCAAAAAACGCAAAAGGAGAGAAGGTGGTGGAAAGACTGTGCAGGGCGGTATCCTATTCTGTCTTCATTAGCAAAGACCTACCTGTGTATACCCGCTACCTCGGTGCCCAGTGAAAGGGTATTTCCAACAGCAGGGGATATTGTAAATGCCCAGAGGTCTCTTCTTCTCCCTTGCAATGTAGATCTTTTGATCTTTCTAAAGAAAAACTAGAACATTAGCTAAAGGTGTCATGAAACGGGGACAGATGGACCCAGTATTCAAGGACACAATCACTGGGCAAGTTCAAAACAATTATTTAGTGAAAAACTAAACTAAAAGGGGAGCTGCTAGGATGTGTGGCACGTGGCAACTGTAGGCGGGGGGGGCAGGGCACCGCCCAATCTCAGACACTCTGTAGTGGGAGAAACACAGGTAAGTGACCACGATCATCTGACAGAAGATTATCTGAGTTGGTCACTTAGCTGGTTTAACAGTCCAGACCAACAATGTCCCCAAGTGCTGCAGTCCCAGAGGTCATGCTGGAAGCCGATCCTGGTCATGGATCCAGAACAGACAGGAACAGACAGAACAGGCAGGATCCAGATCAGGCAGGAACAGAACAGGTGGCAGAATCCAGACTTCCAGGCATCCACAGGCTCCCAGGAGGGTTCAGAGTCTGACTGGGACCAGAAGCATGACCAGGTGGTCACGCACAGGAGCAGACAGGATCAGGTGCTGATGAACAGGCTCAGTGGAAGAGGGTAGCCGAGACAGGACGTGGAACCAGAACTTGATGCAGGACTTTAAACTGGTCTCCTCCTTGGAGCCAGGCTTACTGGATAAAAACTGAACCTCCCCACATAATGAGCCAAAAACTCAGAGGACTCAGCGGGGGAGGAACAGTGGACGATCAGGAGACGAGACAAACACAAAAACCCTCTTTCCACTGGCTGCCAGGATCCAGGACATGAACCAAGGAACAAAACTAACAGACAGACTAACAGAAAGACAAGTAATGATCTGGCCCTGAATGCTCAGGCTGAACTGAATATAAACCAGAGGAAACAGGTGAGAGGAATAAATTATAATGAGGCAGGGAGGGGAAACGACAGGTGAAAGAGATCATCAATTAAGGAGGAGCAAACAGGCCAGATCACGACAAAAGGATAGTTCAGTGTTTTTCAGAAGGCTTTTTGCCAGACTGTTTCAGGATTTTTTTTCTTGAAATGCAGATCTTTTTATCTTTCTGATGAAAAAGTGAACGTAAGCTAACTGATAGGTCAGTGTTTTTTCAAAAGGCTTTTTGACTGACTATTTTATTTAAGTTTAAGTTATGTTCCTAAATACCAGTTTTAAAAGGCTGCTTTTACTTGCCTTGTGCATTTAAACCTGACTTAACTTAATATTTGTTTGCACTTAAAGGGAATTCCCTATTGTTTACAATTGTTCTGGTTGCTTCTTAAACATTGCACAGAAGAATCAACAGCATATTGATGTTGCTGACTACAGCTTGCACTTTAAAAGCACGATGTGATCAGCGTTTTATGTTGGAATGATCATAAACACAACAATAAATTGCCTGTTGAATGGCAAAAGCAGAAAAAATGTCAGTATTTTTTTGCTATTATCATCACAAACACTATCATGAGCTATTTAACCTCTTACACCCTAAGGGGGTATAAATAAATTTCTGCCTGACAAAAACACATAAAAGTAAATAACTTATAGCCTCACAGCTATTAGATTTAAGAAGAAACTTTTGGTACGTCTGTAAAGGTAAGATGTCATAGAATGGTTTTCTGGTGTCAGCACCATTGTAGCTTTGACCCTGCCTGAAATATTAGGGACAAAATACAAAATATTTTGCATTTTTTGAACCTCGCCAAAATTTTCTTTGAAATAAACATTGCAAAACACTACCAAAATATTATTTATAGCATAAAAAAGTAGTACAGACTTTCAAATCTAAATGTTGTGTAAAAATATACCAAATTTGGACTCAATCAGATGAATCATATTTATTTTAGAATGGTATTAGTGAGAAATTTCTTAGGCGGAGAGGCCATTTTGGCACATTTATCTATAAATGTCACCAAACTGTGCCAAATATGTTTTTTACATCAATACTGGGGGTTTGGTAACATTACGAGGTCATGTAGCAGCTGGACCCGCCGGTGGGTCCGTAGGGTTCAAGGGGTTAACAGTACCGTGAGCTTTTCCACAATATCGCAATAAATATCGTACCGTGAGGTCAATATCGAAATTGTACCGTGAGATTTTGATATCGTTACATCCTTTTCAGGAGTTGATGTGTATCTGGAGGAAGCTGTGTAGGATGTACTGCCTGTACCTGCAGCTAGGTGGGCTTAAAGGATTCGCACATCATGATTTGGTCCATCTTAAAGCGCTGTTTGAAATGCTCGTCACTCTGCCATACGTAGGTGATACGTTTCTACAGCATTTTGTTTAAAAGAGTGGATGAGTTCATCTAATCCTCCTTCTACAGTTAGACCTGCTGCATCTCTGGCTCCGCCTTCTTCCGTCAGTTTAGGCCAATATCTTTCAGTTTTTGAGGACTTTGTGAAATCTTAAGTATAATTCTATCAAAACATGCAGACAGATTGATTAAACGTTATCTAGCTGATTGTCACCGTCTTGGTTCTGTTTCTTTTGATTATTCAGTTTTACTTTGATCCGTGTTTTCTAGCTTTATTGGTTTAATTCCTATTTTGTTGTGTTTTCTGGATTTATTTGAGGTTTTCTTAGGTTTTTCTTGGTTACCCTCTCTTGCCCTCTTGCGTTGGTCTCCTTTTCCCTAGCTTCCTTCTAGAATCCTCTGCTCACAATCTGCTCCCTATCAGCTCATTGTATCATAAACGGGACAGATGGACCCAGTATTCACGGTGAGACAGCCAGTAGGAACGTTCAAAAAGTTTATTAACACAGACAAAAGAACACAGAAGCATGCTGCTGTGGATCTGCGGCCCGCAGCGGCTGCAGGACAATCTCAGATTCTCTGGTTGTGGGAGAAACACAGGTAAGAGAGAAACACAGCGCGCATCACCCAGAGCGTCCCCGGTGTTGCAGCCCCAGAGGTCTTGCAGGAAGCTGATCAGAGCAGCCAGACAGGGACAGTTCGTGAAACCTCGATGACCTCCGTACGCTCTGAGATTCCAATCCAAACAGGAACAGAGTGACCCGGGCTTCCAGGAATACTCAGAGCTCACAGGCCTGAAGCAGATGCAGTCTACAAGTGTGACCAGGCGGACACGCACACACAGACTGAGGGTAGCAGAGACGGGATGTTGAACCAGAACTTGATCCCGGAAACTTTAAACTGGTCTGCCCATTGGACCCAGGCTTACAGGAATAAAAACTGATCCTACCTGCGTTCCGAGGCAAAACCCTGAGGACACCGCAGGGGAGGAACAGTGGATGAGCAGGAGACGAGACACACTGGCCGCCAGGATCCAGGACATGAACCGTGGAGTTAACTGAAAACATTGAACAGACAGACTAACAGGAAACAAATAATGATCTGGCCCTGATCGCTCGGGCTGAACCGAATATAAGGAAAAGGAAACTGGTGAAAGAAATGAATGATAATTACAGCAGGGAGGGAAACGGCAGGTGAATGAAATAAACTATTAAGGTGGAGGAATCAGGCCAGATCATGACACATTAGTCCTGTCTTTGTTCAGTCTTCCCTGTGCAGTTCCTCAGGGCTGGTTACTCGTCTTTCCCTGACTCCTCGTGGTTTTACCAGATATCTCCATGGTTGTGGTTTGTTCTGTACTTTTATGTTGGATTTATGGATTCCTGCCTCAGTTGCCTCTGAGTAATTTAATCAAATGTACAAAAACTCACCTCTGCCTCTTCAGCGCTGCATTTGGGTCCTCAAAACCTCAACTCAACCTCACACGGATGCATCATCTCATTCACTCTGCGGGATTTGGTTGATCTGGATGAGCATGTACAGACAGTAGACGGTCACTTGCAATTTTCCTTTGCATATGTCATTGACTGTTCAGCAATTTCTCACACCAAGCAAGCATACAGCGACAGTGGAGAGGAAAAAATTCCCTCTTAATAGGAAGAAACCTCCAGCAGAACCAGGCTCAGTGTGAGCGGCCATCTGCTGAGGCCCACTGGGGTTCAAGGAGACAGAAGCAGACAGAAAAGGAACATAGAAGCTCGGATCTATAAACATCTATATTAGAAAAGCTATCGGTAATCCAGCTCCACAGATGGAAAGCAACAGTTTTCATTGTAAAGAGATGAAAGAGAGAACATCCAGAAATAAAACTCACTTGGCCCAGGTGTGTAAAGCAGAGACCCATCTAAAAGGCAGAGAATGTGTTCTCTCTATGAAAGGTTCCACCTACCAGCTCACCTCTCAGACGTCCTTCCTTCATGTCACGAGTTCTGCTTCTCCCTGAGCGTATCTGTAACTCCAGCCATCATCTCTCCAACCAGCCATCCCTGTTTCTGCTTTGGCCTTCACTTAAAACAGCTCTACTTGGCCAGACTTTTGCTGAGTTTCAAGTTTTAGAAGATCAATCTGCACGCCGTCTCCCACTTCTCGCTTCTCCCACAGCTGGGCATCACCGGTGCACTATCCTCCGATAGAATCACTCTGAGCTCAAGTTCCGCTTTCCAGCCGACAGAATGCTGCACTGAGCAACCCTGGTGTAAACATTTGCAGAGCTCCAGTGTCTACTTCTCAGTGGCTTTTTTAATTATCATTTTAACTGTTATTACACTTAATTATTATTTTAGCTTAATTTAGCAGGAAATCAAGCTTTCCATTTACAATGGACCTTCTTTGCTTGGATCCCTGGCCTAGCGTCTTTCTGCATCAGGATGGCATATTCTCCCTGTGCATGCGTGGACTCTAGGGACTCTGACTACTAGCTTAATTGGTGATTGTACGTTTCTGTGTTGACTTGCAACTGATAGACGACCTGTCAGAGAAAGGTACCATGGCCTTATGACCCTGACAGACACATTATAGAAGTTTCATGGTAGTTGATAGAAACATAAAGATTTTAACATAGATTTGTAAAAATGTTTGGGTGATTTTTTTATTTACTGACTTGGAAGAGAATGGCCTTGAACTCATCCAAATGGACACCAGTTCATGAACCAAAACACCAGTACTGGTAGAGGTTGTACCCTCTTGAAGTGCCTTATTTAGCAGTGTTTCAATAAAGGACACTCTCAGTGTTAGCCAGTAGTGTCTTAGGCCTGGCATACACTGTACGATTTATTTCAATCGTTGCATGGAGCTCACACCGACCGACAAAACCCTGTGGTTTTGTCGGTCGGTGTGAATTTTGTAGTCATAAAAATAATTTCCCATATTTACTTACTATAAAAGTTTTCAATCAGTCTGTTTTACTTTCAAGACCACACAATTTCCCTGTGTGAGAGTGTTTTTAGACAAGACGTACCTTCTTCCCAGGCAGGGCCCAGGCAGAACAGGGCTGATTACCGTGCAATAATGAACTGTATGATGAACTGTTCTCTCTTTGCAAAGATTAAAATAAAGGGCCGACTGAGTGAAATCCATCCATCTCTGTTTATTTAACTGGAGTAAATAGTTGAATACTTTTTTCCCACAACAGTTAACAGCTCACAATGTTTGTTCTCACGCTGTGCGACCCGACGCTCTGATGCGATCTACCTGCTCACTCTGTACGTCTAAAAACCAGGTGGGACTCAGCTCCGCAGTGAGATGGCGCTACTCGGACTCGTCTATCTGGAAGCCAAACGACTAAAAGAGCAACATGAAGCTCACTAGAGTGAAACGCGCTGCCTTGGATATTTGGGCAATTTTCTGCTGAAAGTCCTAAAAAGAAAAGGAGACGACGTATTTGGACAAAGACATGGCTGAGCAAACATGGCTACTACGGTCTGACAATGTTATAGAAAGAACTCCATTTCACTCATTGCACCCCCGCCATGCTGCTGGGTTTTCCTCTGAGAGGAAGAAGAAGAAGACGAATCCTTGTTTGTCCACTGAGCGATTTGCCTATGCCCACCTACGATGGCCTACTGAATTTCAGACATGTTTGATTTTCTCCTGACCTTACAATTCCTGATGGGGAGGTGGTCGTTAGAGGCTGATCGCCCCTCGTTACCTCCTGTACAGCTACACCACGCACCATCATGCTGAAAGTCGGCCCCATCGAAAAATTCTCACATGACTGGAGAATCGGCCCCGAAAAAGGGCCAAAAAGTCGTACATAGTACACCCCGCTTAAAAAGTTTTCCATCATGTTTAACCAGTAGAGCTGGTACTTTTCAAATGTAACAGAGCGCTTTTTTTCTCTCTGCCCAGGCCTGATCTGCCCGGTGGAAATCATGTTCCTGGTCGACAGTACAGAGAACACAAAATCTGTGCTGTTTGAGCAACAGAAGGAGTTCATCCGGAGCTTCAGCACCAAGCTAGTGCAGCTTCACGCTACAGGCTGGCGTATTCGCCTGCGCCTGGCTGCTTTGCAGTATAGTAGCAACGTCTCAGTAGAGCACAACTTCAGAGACTGGCAGGACCTGGATGTCTTCCAGAGTAGGGTTGGCTTGATGAGTTATATTGGCCATGGCTCCTACTCCGCCTATGCCATCACCAATGCCACCAATGTGTTTAAGCAAGAGACATCCTCCAACAGCCTCCGGGTGGCGCTGCTGATGACGGACGGAAGCGACCACCCACGCAGCCCCAGCGCCGTGGCGGCGGCTGCAGAGGCCAAACAGCACAACATCAGAGTGTTCACCATCCTGCTGTCTGGACCGCCCAAACCAAGCGCCATGGGAACAAGGCTGCGATCCATCGCCAGCGCCCCCCCACAGCAGCATATGTTCAGCCTCAGTGACAGCCAGCTCCACCAAAAGCTCCTGGGAGAAATAGTGAGTAATTATGCTGTGGGAGTGGAGAGGATTTTATTTTAACTTTTAAATGGTTTGAATGTTTTGTGACAAATTCTTTTCTTCGTGCAGAATACGATTGTGACCTCTGGGGTGAGTAACCTTAGCTCAAATTTTTTTTGTCGGTCTCTGCATCTGTTTTATTGCATAACCACCTTCATGAGAGAGATCAAAGAGTTCATGTTGGCCTATGTAACATATTCTCATTCAATATTATATTAACCCATTTCTTTATTTCAGTGCCCGCAGCCAAAGGATTGCATGTGTGAGAAAGGAGAGAAGGGTCGCCCTGGAAGTCCAGTAAGTAGTGGGCATTTTTAAAGGTGAAGAAATAATAAAATTAACATTAATAAATTCTACTTTTATTTAATACTTTTAATGGGTGTTGTTTCTATTACAACAACAAAAAAATAAAACAGCAAGTCAGTAAACAGGAAATGACATCAGTTAGTTTGAATAAGATGATGAACTGATGACTGAATGAGGAAAGCAAATCTATGTTCCTAATGTGACAGTGTGGGGTCCTCACTATGCCCCCGGCCAGTGTTGGGAAAGTTCTATTTCTACGTGAACTAGTTCAAAGTTCAGTTCACACATTTTAGAATGAACTAGTTCAGTTCATAGTTCATAATTCATAATTTTGAATTAAAGTTCACAGTTCCAAAAAATGAACTAGTTCATAGTTCTTTTTTTTTCTTCATATATTGCTCAATTACACCATAGCCTACTGTAGAACCACAGACAGCAATTATTTTATCAGTTGTAACACTGAAACTGTGCGTCAGATTTCATCTTCATATCCAGTTTTGAATCCTTATCCAACCAGGGTTTCCATTAGCATTGAGGGGACAGATTTCCCCATTGTTGCTTTAACGCTTTGTTGCTGTCCATTCACTTCACACTAGTAGCAGCTGCAGCTTTCACCCCTACAGTATATTCTCAAAAACATCAGGAAAAATGTGCTGCTTGAATGGTCTTTTTTATGAGGAATTATTAAAAGAAAAATAGGAAAGTAGTCTTTAAGGTGCAAATGTTTTTTTTTTTATTTTAATAATTTTTTCCATTTGAAATTCCATTTCAATACATACTAAAAAGGAATCCTGGAAAATTATACCAGGCAGGTTTAACAAACAAGTTACATGGATAGTAAAACCCTCAAGAACAGGGGTCTTCTATGTTTTCCAGACCAAGGACCCCCAAACTGATGGCGAGATGGAGCGGGGACCCCCTAACTATATATATTGTATGAAATTGTGTCCTATAGTCACTCTATTACAGATGGAGTAATGTAAAGAAATTAATTTCTCCCTGGGATTATTAAAGTTTTTCTGATTCTGATTCCTGGTTGATGGGACAGGTGTTGTGAAGGAAACGGTGCCCAGCTTGAAAGAGCTCCTGTGTGTCTCTGAATATGAGCATTGATGACTGAAAGACATCTTCTGCCTCCATTTATCTGTTTACTGCAGTCTGTTGATTTCATGTTAATGAGTATTTAAAGACATTTCAATTAGTGGGGAAAAAAATTGCAGGGGGGAATATAAAAATATCAACTAACCATGCAGACCCTCATGCAGTACCTCCGTGGACCCCCTAGGGGTCGCGGATCCCCTGTTGAAGATCTCCGCTCAAGAACATTTTACTAACACAAACTGAGGGACCAGGCTGAGGTAGGAATTTAAGGTTACTGAAGTGCGGATTTTTTTACTGAAAGCCGGCGGGCAAACTTGTTGCTATCATCCTCACCGACCACCTGGTCATAAACCTGTTTTAAGTGATCATACTGCTACTTTGTCGCCTCCACGGTCGCCTCCATGCTGCATTTTGTTTTGATGACGCACGCGGCTGTAGGCTACGACACTGGTAGCTGGTGTTGCCAGATTGGGTGTTTTCCCCGCTACATATTAAGGCCTGTTTACGGTGTGATTTAGCCGGGGTTTCGCCTGGAGGGCTCTATAGAAATCTGGCAACCTATTGAACGGAGCTGAACTGAGAGAGCGTGCCGTTCACAGACACCAGAATGAACGAGTTCACAATATCGTTCATCAGGCAGTAATACAGTACGTTCAGTTCACGTTCGCCCAAAATATGAACGAGTTCATGAACTTTCGTTCAATGAACGCGTTCAGGCACAACACTGCCCCCGGCTGATGATGCTTCTTAGCTAACTGGCTGACGGGTCACTGCCCAGTCATGTGCAGGAGTCTGGGGATCCAATCCCGCCTGGGCCCTCTGTTGTCTACCTTACCACTCTAATGTGTGCAGGAAGTGAAGAAGCCAATCAGGTTGATATCCAACGTGGAGAAGAGGAAGCATGGAAATAATAGGGCCCCTAATAAGAATCCGTGGGGCACACCTGCAGAGGCAGGAAACATCCATCCATTTCTGTCCCAGCCAGCGTGGTGAGGGGTGCTGGTGCCTATCTCCTGTCTACTGGCGAGAGACAGGGTCCACCCTGGACGGGTCCCCACAGAGGCAAACCAAGCAACCATTCACATTGATGTGCCATATGCCATGATCAGACTTTTTGGACACTGGGAACCAGTGTCCAGATTTCATCTTGACATGATGATGTGGAATCAGCTGTGGAATCTCTGCAGCCCCCTCGCTTTTCAGCCAAGGCCTTCACAGGACCTCCCACAGAGGTGTGACTTTGCCAGCCCCCCACCCCCTGTGCGGACAGATCAAAATCGCAGAGAAAACCAGATTCTCTCTTTGCCTCCTCTCCCTCACCCATGAAGCTGGGCTTCGGCCTGGACCTCCACTGTGGTGGAGAACCAAGGCCCAAGGGGACCCAAATCTCCAGAATCACCAAGGACGGGTCATTGTGGTAACCTTTCAGAACCAAAATACTACAAGACAGACCTTTTGCAACACAATTCTCTTGAGTTTAAGAACTTATAGAGCCAGACTGAAGAGAAGGACTGCCCTGTCTTTATGAATGACTGAGATAAAGAGGACCCCTGATGTGAGACTGAGACAAGGAACCCCTGGTTGTTGCTGCCCTGACTGCTGAGCTGCAGCTGGATGAAACTCAAGACCTCTAATGGACATGGAAAGAAAGGTTGATGATTAGGGACAATACTGATGAGTAAAGTCAAGCTAACAGGATGGACTGCATGCTACGCTATGCTACAGAAGTATGTGTTGAGCTGTTGCTGAAGCTTGAACAAGCTTTACTCACTAACAGTGTTAGTGCCAGAATTGACAAGATTGAAATATGTGTAGTACCACTAGTTGCCTCTAGGTGGCAATAGCGATCTTTGTTGTAGGTAATTTCTGAGTTGGAAGGTCTGGCACGTCAGGCACGTTCAGGAAGCAAGCCAGCGGGTGTTTGATGTGACGGAGCTTCACCTTTTCTGACCGCAGTTTTAGGTCTAAGGAATTAAGAACATGGATATCAGTTAAAAGAGTTAGTTTATAAGCATTTTTCATTTTTTGTACCGTTTTATTTTGCATTTTTTGGAGAAAATAAATCTTTTGAGTTTGAAACCAGAAACGCGAGTTGGAACGTGACTTCGTCAGACAACGTGGCTTCACAATAGTCAGAAAAGAGCTCCAAATGGATTAAGAAACCCAGTGGATTTCCTGAAGAGTGGATTCAGTCATCTACAAGCAAGTATTGACCTCAAGTTTGGATCTCCGTTCGAAGGAACAAGTAAGAAATGCGTCTGGATTTGCAAAAGGAGTTAGCCACACTCAGCTAAATTTGCATATTAGTGCTGTAAGCTAATGCTTGTTCTGAGGAATTTGGAAAGCTCTCGTAAGGAAAATTACCACATATGACGATTATTGGAATTGTGCTTGTGGAAAAGAGGGATATTTGAAGATTCAAAATGCATGAACAAAGTGATGCTGTTGTGCGTTCTAAGAGGACAGTAAGGCTGACTTCTAAAGGCATGGAACAAAAGCTTAGCATGACATTGGCTGAAAGGAAATCCAAGTTTGCACATCTCTGTCGAATAATGAAGGATATGGATGCTCTAATGGAAGATGTAAATAATGCTGGTACAGTTTCCCAGAAACTATCAACAGAGTTTACAGAGGTGTACGTGCAATTTTGCAGTCTGAATGATACAGCAAAAGAATGTATGTCGGAAGAGGATTTGATCAAAGACCAGAAAAGCTGGTATGAATCTAGAACCAAACATCTTAATGGTTTTGTGGAGGATGTTGAGGGATGGTTAAAAGCAGCTGCTGAGCAGGCTAAAGAAGAGAAGACAGTATGATGATGAAGTAAGCCCTGCAGATAGTGCTTCGATGGTCAGTTTTCCACACAAGTTGGGGGCATCTCTCCATAACAGAGCAGCTTCAGTTGTGTCTTCAACTGCTTCTGCCACAAGATATAAGTACGAGGCTGAAAGAGCAGCTTTGATTGCACAGGCTAGCGCATTGAAACAAAAACAAGAAATTGACAGAGAATTGGCTCTACTACAAGCAAAGAAAGAGAAACTGGAATTGCAGACAGCTATTAATGCAGCGAATGCTAAAATTCAAGTGCTTGGTTTGCATGAGTCTGATATGCAAGAGCAGGAACAAGTGAGGCCTCCTGAGGTGAGAAATCTGCGTGCTGAATTTGCATATCCTGAAGATGAAGGTGAGGAAGATGATGTCGCTTTTCCTATACAGCGACCAGAAAGGCAGCCTCCTCAGCCAAGGCAACAATACTATGTGAGTAGAAGGCAAAACACACACAGCAATGTTTCATCTTCCTCACACTCACGCGCCGACAGTGGTGCTCATGTTGGTGAACGACAACGTGACAACATGCAGATTAGAAACCTGCTTGAGGTTATGAAGCATCAGAACGATATCACTGAGCTGCTTGTGAAACAGCAAAGGTTGTCATGCTTACCATCAGTGGACATTCCTGTTTTTAGTGGTGACCCAACTGAATACAGATTTTTCACTAAAGCTTTTGAACATGGAATTGAGGACAGAACCTCCAGTAGTAAAGATCGTTTATACTTTCTGGAGCAGTACACAAGCGGTCAACCTAAAGTGCTTGTGCGAAGTTGCCAGCACATGCATCCTGAATTTGGGTACAAAGAGGCCAAAAGGCTATTGCAACAGCATTATGGCAACGAATACACCATTGCTATGGCGTATGTGGAGAAGGCTTTGAAATGGCCTGTCTTGAAATCAGAAGATGGAGCATCATTGACAGAATTGGCTGTTTTCCTCACAAGCTGCCTTAATACAGTGGAAGGAATTGAGTTTAAAGAAGAAATGGACAGTCCAACTAACATGCGTGCAATAATTGCAAAACTACCTTTCAGGTTCAGAGAACGATGGAGGGGATT